TTTATAAACAACGAACAGCAAGCAGATAGGGAGATAATTGCCTATGTCGTGAAGTTCTCACTTTTTGAACAAGAATACGGTCTTGCTGGTTTTCCATTGAATAGGGACCTTTCATTCTGACAGGTAGCGAGTAAAGAGCCGAGCCAGGGTGTTGATGAGAGCTGGCGGCAGGCTCTTCAGGTGTTCAGGTCTAATTCTATCTGGACCGCGTGTTATTCTGTTTCTTCACCGACGATATAGCATGTCGGATTTCGGAAGGGAGGACCGGTGAAACTACATATTCTTCTTCTTTCAATATATATGACGGTAAGAGGACATGGCTAGCGAAGAGATCCGAGTAGTATTGGTGGATGGTTTTTCCATAGCCCTTCTCGAAGCTGTAAGTGTCCCGTCAGGGTATTGCAGTGCTATCATCTTGGTCTTCTAGTTGGCGAAGCCTTGCTGGGCTTTGCGAATGCTCTTCCCAGCTTCTGCAGCTTCTGCCATAACTGCTGCTCTTCTCTCTTTGAGGTCTTCTTTTATCGCTTCCCTGCAGCGTATTGCAAGTTCGGACGTAAGGTTTCGGTTGCCTGTAGCTCGAGCGATTGCACGTTGACGTATCAGCCTGAGTGTCTGTGGAGACAAGCGTCTTTACGTGACCTTAGGACTCTCGGCTTTCATGGCGCTAACGTGATAATATTCAGCGAGTCGATCGTATTCTTAATCGATGTCGTCGACAACGGTATCTTTCTAAGAGCCGACTAATGATCTGAATACATCCCAGTTTATGGTAGTTCTGGGACATCGTTGTTTGAATTTAGCGGCTTTCTCTCCTCTCCTCGAAAAGCCGAACGTTGCGCGAAGGAGGCGATGGTCTGATCCCGTGTAGAACTTAGGAACAACAGCGACATCGGTCAGACAAAACCTTCGATATTACTAAGATGTGGTCTATTTCGTTATGGTACTCTTCATTGGGGGATTCCCACGTCCATCGCTGAGAAAGTGGCTTTTGGAATTGCGAGTTTCCATGGATGGTTTGAGTTGTCATGATAAACTCAGGCAGCCTCTCACCCTCCTCATTCCATTCTAGTTCGTGGGTTTCCTATGTGACGTTCTTCACACGTTCTTCTAAATCCAATTTTTGCGTTAAAGTCTCCGACAATGACTTTGGAGAATGCATGATCTTCTCTGAAGAATTTTTGAGGTCCATATAAAACGCTTCGACTTCGTCTTTGTCATATCTTGATGTGGGTGCGTAAGCATCGAAGATTGTTAAAGCCGGCATAGAACCAAGTCGTTTCAATCGTAATCGTCCGGTACGGGTTGTTAGTTGTTCAAACGAATCAGTTTTCACGGTCAAATTCGATTTCACGAGGACGCCAACGCCTCCGACACCTCTGCGATGTCATGTTCCAAAGAACAGTTCTTCTCCGGTGTCATAAACACCGTGAAAAGGATGGCGCCTTCTCGTCTCAGCCAAGCCAATGACGTCGTCTTTACTCTCCTTGCTTGAATCAGTAGATCTTCTACAGCGGATTCGTGAGCAAGGGTTCTAGCATTGTAGGTACAGATCGTCATTTTAGTCCGTTTCGATCTTGGCAGCCTAGTTTAACCCTGAGATTTTACCAGCCTCTCCGTACTCGTTCTACCTGGCGCTGCCGTACCAGAGGCTCTTTCGGGGTTAGGGGAATGAGTCTCATACTTGTTACTCTTTTTGGCATTTTGACACCTAACGTATAGCTTTCCAGGCTCTAAACGTGGGGGCTGGGTACTCACAAGTAGCTTGCCAGTCTCTCTCGAAGGAGCGGGAGGAGAATTTGTTGGAGACGACTCCTAACCGCCTCCCATGTACTTCCCAGCAGCTTGATTGCAGGCTTTTGGTCGACTTGACTCGTAGAAATAGAGTTTTTGTCAAGTTGGCACTGCAGAAGCAGGGGTGCTCTCCCCTGAATCCACCTGCGTCTCTGGAAAGCACATGGTCGCTTTGTTCTCGTTTATTCCCCTGTCCACCACCTGGGGACGCGCCTTGTGCCCTCGCGACTAACCGGGCGGGATCCCTCAAAGAGGGAGGTCCGTGGTTTACTGCGTTATATTGACAAAAAAACGTTTTTACGTTCCTTCATATCGCATTTTCTCGTATTAACCGAGAAAATTTTTATTCTAGGCCAACTTCTTATTACAAACATATAGATTCATATCAAAGAGGCTGCTATAAACGTTTTCAATAAAATGAATTTGAAGATGCAAATGGCTTTACTTTTCAATTAACAAGCTATAGCCTCCAGATTCCATCCCATTTCGAACTCATTCTGCACATCTCTTTCTGCGAATTGTGCAATGCTATTTGAAAGCACATTTTCATGCGACATACTACTTTTGTATATACTCTAGATGAACGGGTTTTTGGTACATCGCCAAAGTACGCCATGAAAATTTCGCATTCCTTAATTCAAAAAGTAAACTTTAGAGTATATGCAATAGTCCTCTGCCCAGCCCATTATTTCTCTTTTCTCTTTAAGATCTCCATGAATCCTAACAACCTGTATATCACAAGAGGAAGACAAAATTCCTAGGATAGCAAAATTCTAACTCTATTTCTCTTTCCTTGTCCCCTATCTTGTGAAAGTGAAATCGTCTTTCCCCATTCATCAACGTTCTATCGCCGTAAAGGTTTGTCTGCCTACAATCAGCTACAGGCAAGCATGTACAGTTCAGAAGGGCAATTGGTTTCTCCTTTGTCTGAGAATACTGAACAATGTGCAACACGTCTTTGGAGAAAAAACCCTATCTTAATTGACAGCTTTTTGATGTTCAAAATCTCTTATGCACAGCAATTTTTTGAGTATACTTCTTCTCACAATTTGTATGACTAGCAAATATACAATAATCCATTAAAGCTGGCACGAGAGTTGTGCCTGCACTTGCGTAGACCAATATTTTTAGTTTGCAATGGTGTAGGATCGTTCATGAGTAGTTCATAGAAATTGACTGGCCCTTTGCACTTGAGCATTACGTCGCTTTGAACTGTCATTCATCAGAGAATGTGTCTGAGCGACAGCATTCTCCTTGAGAATTCGGCGACTACCTGTGACTAGTGCACAGTTTTCCATAGTGTTATCGGCTTCATCACCAAGCTCTTCTTTGGCATTGTTTTCCATGATGCACTCATGCGGAATATTTGTCAAGGAATAGTTTTACACACAAGCCCTACCACTATTATATTACAATAGCCTGCAGAGAACTGATCGTTGTTGCATGAACCTCATTGGCAAAAGTGTAGTTAGATACCCTTCAGAAGCTGTCATGCGCTTCAGGAGGTCTCTGATTTGCAGTTGGGCTGCCAGAACCACTTGCACATGGTCAAAAATAATTTCGAGAGGTTGAGATTATTTGAGATGGAAATGGGGCAGTGTACAACAAATCGTCTTAGGCGCATCCATCTAAGAAGAGGTGCGTAAAGGTCAGTGCGCAAGTCCAGTGTCTAAACTGTTACGGCAAAATGTGCTCATGGTACAGAAAAAACAGATGATGAGGGTTTACTACACGTAGAACGATAACAAGGTCTCTTTTTTATTTCAAAACTGTAATTTCCAATCACTATAATGACTTTGCGTACCGTATGGAACGAGAGATATAAAAGGTGGACAATTATATCGCAATACTTTATTTCAGAGTACAAGTTGAGTTTTTTAGACCTTTTATGGACTGCGCCTGAAATACTTCGAGACCCAACGAGTACTGGATCACAGGAGGGAGATATTTATAGGTGAGGAGAAGCCCTAGATAGAAGTTGGAATATTAGTACTTGCCAGTCATCCGATGTATATATTGTCACTATAAATTTGAAAAAAACGACTTTTGTCATTTTATGTTATCTAAGTAATTACGTCATAGTATTCTTGGAAACAGTATTCTTGATTTACAGTGAAAACCAAACAGCACTTTTAGTTTCGCGATCATTTGCGCTCAAATTGTCACCCGATCCTCGGCATGGGATTTGGAGAACCGAAAAGAGAAGGAAGACGGTATTACCTATGTTAATTTTCATATAGATCTTTTAAAATGACCTAATTTTTGGTCTCTCTTTTTATTCTGTCACTTTATCCTCGGCATGAGGTTTGAAGAATCAAAAAGTGAATGCAGGTTGTTTTATCTATGATAAGTTTCATACAAGTCCTCTCAAACAATTCAATCTTTCGCCTCTCATTTCATTTTGTCACTCAATCCTTGAAATAGGATTTATGGAATCGAAAAAACGAGGAAGAATGATATTTATTGAAGAAATTGCATTCGACCCTGATCACACAGCTTAGTCGTCTATCAATATCATCTTTAACTCTTCTTATCATAAAGTGAGTCAACTGAGGATAAGCACTCTTCACTTGTCGCAAAGAAGAACTTCTCTCCTTTCTCGAGTAAAACGATTCTTCCATTTAAGAGTAAGCAGTGAAAATTGATGATTGCTTGTAGACTATCTATTGCTGAAAAACGTTGCTTACTTTCTTTTTACCGCTTTGAGGCAATTTTTCAAATCTGTTGAATGATAGCGTTGGCAAACGCGATTTGACATCTTACCTTCTTCAAGTAAAAAAGGACGACAGATGTCACTCAAACTATGTGGAAACTAAAAGAGAAAACAAAAGCGGTTAGAATGTATGGATACTTGAATTACACCATTGGAAGAATGTTGAAGTAATACCCTTATATCGTTTTTACCTTTATATCGTTTTTTCTAGAGCTGATTTGCATGATTAAGAAAGGCGGCTACGACCCCCCACGTCCTTCTTTAGAAGGCCACAATGTAGTGGGTGTCAAACCGGAATTGGTAAGTCTTTACTGCACCATTTTAGTCTATTCTATCAAATTTATGAACGTCAAATAGGTAACAGAGTGCAGGATTAAAAAATCACTAGTGCTAGATGATTAGGAAATACTCAAGAGTTCTAGTATTTCAACTGCTTTGTCGCGGTGATATGATGTTATACATAAATCTAAGCGAATTGATTGGTGAGCTATAGTGCGACCTCAGACGGAAGTCGAACCCGCATTCCATCTATACTGGGGACGTGTGCTACCACTACACCACTGATGCACATTTCGTCTCCTGTATGGACAAAACGCGGGTTCCTTTCTTTTCTGAGGTCGCATTTTTGCTCACCACTCAACCCGCTTAGATTAAAGAATAGACGATTAGACGTTGACAAAGAGTAAGGAATGAAACATGCATTCGTTTTCATCAAGGATCTTAAGTTGCCTGGAAATCTATAATGTCTTACGGTGACCTAGTTATGCATGAAGTCAGTGTCATTAGCTTTCCAAATTAGGCTGGTAGAATTTACTGGCTCTGGGAAGCCGAGCTGCCTGGAGAGCACTGACTCTCTGATCGACTTAGCAATCGTTCACCCCATATTGCGGGCCATCTCTTGTGAGACGTTGCATTCTGTCCTAAATCTTGAAAGTTACTAGTGAATAGAAAGATGAGTGATCGATCAAGAGTTTAATTCCGAAGGCAGACCTGAAGATTAACGTGATGTGAGAAATGTACGACAAGCTGGTCAATTCACTCAGTGCACCCAATGAAATACTTGGACATATCGGATATGGTAAAAGTTTCCGTGAAGCTATTTGATGAAGGAACTTTGGTGGGCCTCGTAATCAGGCCTAATATTGAAGCAAATAAGCACTTGGTGCTTGTAGAAATAAGGTTGAATAATCAATAAGTTTCAGCCGCCCCAGTAGACGCGAGGCTGCTTGGATTAGGCGAGATGTAGCAGTGAAAGCGAATAAATGTTAGCATAAAGTTGTGCAACGAAAAGCAAAGTTGAGCGATGATGCCTGAAAAGATTTTGAGCATCACGCAAAGTTGCTATGAAGAATGAAAACAGTCTAGCCCTAGATTTTTTCATCTCTATAGCCATAAGAAAATCAAATTTCATAAACTAAAATTATTCATTCATCTTTTTACATGAACACAATTCATGGTGCGAATCACAGCATTCTTTTCATTCAATTCTTTTTCTTTCATTTAACTTCCACATAAGCCTTGCAAGTTTCGCATTTTGTTTTGGCTGCAGTTTAAGAATTTCGTCGTCCTCATGAAAGCTGTGGAAAGCTGGTGGAGTCGATTTCTTTGGGAATCTTGGTGTAGTCGAGATAAGGCGTTATTGGACGTTCAGTTATATATTCAGATGCACATGATCCGCGATTGCTGGGTAGAAAACCCTTCGGAACGACTCTCAATCAAGGCTGTGAGGATGTGGATACGGAGCATGAATAGTAGCAAGTGAGAAATAATAACTAGGTTTCTATAATTTGTATAGAGGCTATTCCCTACTACATGAAAAATTGTAGAGTGATAGGGAACGGACTCAAACCCACATCTCACTCTTTCTACGCTATAATGCAAGTGTCGTAACACTATAGCACTTCTAGAAGCGGTCAATCAAAATGATAGGATATTTGATCATCTATTATCCATTATCTGTCAACGTGACTGATTTTAATGTTGATAAGCGAATACCTGGGTCAGGCCGTTGACGGCTGGCTGTTGACAGATACATGCATTGTAGCGTTGAAAGAGTGGTAAGCAAAACGGGCGCGGTAGTGCAATGGATCAGAGCACGCGCTCCCGGACAGAGTGAGATGTGTGTTCGAGCTCCGTCTGACTCGAAAGTTTCGCTTATCACTCTGCAACAATGAGTCCATTAGTGACATCACACGATCGCTAGAAGCGGGCAACTAAAATGGTATTATATTTTTTGTATACGTCGATCACTACCCTCGATTTCGTAACATACGTTCTGCAATAATGCCTACATTGAGGACGCATTACACAACTGCACGGGACCTCATAACGTCTACTTATTGATCACTGCATTTTATATATACTCCAAGGCCCAAATTGATGCATAGTTCTAATGATACTGTATGCTCGATCCGCTTGCAAATCGTATACAAGGTATGCCATCGATTTGTGGATTCATGCTAGAGTGTATCCCTGCTTTCCGACCACACTCTTCGCAGAAAGCGTTATAAAATACTACCTTTTCTTTCTTGTATTACCCATACCCGATGGCTGAAGATAATCTTCCACTGACAGTGTGCCTTTGAGCCTTATATATCGCAAGTACTTACTGGTCACGCTACTCTACATTTTGAAGTCCGTTCTTGATATCGCAATTCCATAATTGTTGAACATAACTTTTCAGCCACAGTTGTAGCCACAAACGAACTGCAACATAACAGACCTCGAAAAGACGGCTAAAAACATTCTCGAGACTATAATGTCCAGTTGCACAAGTATGTGGTTCCAAACTGTGGCACGAACAAATTAGCCATTTCAACTGATGCACTGGCCAAGAATGAGGTCAGCGACATAAAACAATGCAACACTGAGCGACTGTCAATCCAGAGATCAAGGACATCAAGCGGTTACACAGCGGTTCATCAAAATCACAGATTCAATACCGTCGCCGATCAGTTTTCGCGCAGAAAACCTGTAACAAAATCCATTGTCACAGTACGTTAACGAGAGCGAGTAATCGTATCACCTGGCCAGCAATAATAATCGGATAGGGATTATCAAAGCTCCTATTTGAAAAAAAAAAACCGAAAGATTACGTCATCATCTACTAAAAATGCTTCGAGAAGTTAGTTGGGATCAAAAGGGGCATTACTACAGTAGTTCTGGTGATGGAGCCAACAACACGAGGTCAATGAAAAATAACGACATCGATTCTGCTCTAGCGAACTGTACATCTACATCAAATCGCCGAAGATTACTAGTCAGTTAGTTGATATGGTCGCTCTAAACTCCAGATTCGGAAAATTGATTTTTTTACATTCGGCTTGATCGAGGAAGCGATAACGAAGTGACGTCAGGTTCAAATTACATAAGGATAAATAGTAAGAACCGTAACATGATGAGGGTAGAGGTGACATAAATAGCAATAAGGACACAAAATAGCGAAATATCTCCAGCAAAAGTACTGAAGATGTAGGTAGAAAAAACAGTGATATTATGCAAATCAGATTGGAGGAACATCCAGCTTAAGAGCACTAAGATATTTGGGTTCACAAATTGATGGTGGACCTTATGGTTTTGAAAACAGACGTAACATATTGCATTATTGGAGGCATTTTACTGAGGAGTTCGAAGTACATCCAGGGTACATTGAATTAGAAATAGATCCACAGAGATATCATACAGATGAGGCATTGCGCAAAATTCTTGTCTAAGCAATTCCAGCCCTAACACCTAGACTAATCAATTAAAGAGAATTGGAAAACTCCTCAGTTTGAGCATTTTGATTTTTCAGATCGAAGAACCTAATGGACCACGTTTTTGCAAAGCTTGAATCGCACGCTCTCACACTAGAGAGTGAAGTGGAAGAACGAACGAAAGAACTGATAGAGGAGAAGAAGAAGAGTGATATTCTGCTAAATAGAATGTTGCCGAGGTGAAATCACCTAGTCATTCTTTGAACGTCCAAACTTGTCATCACTAAAATTACATGATAATTTGGGACTTCTCAATTCAAGTATATATATCGAAAATTACTACAGTGATTCGGCATTTTACTGCTGAAAATGCGTTAAGAACTTTGATTGTTTAGACATTTCAGTATTAAAATCAGCAAAGATTTCTTACAAACGTGCTCACCTAAGTTGCATGGAAAATTCAACATAATCTCTCAACTCTAACAATGTGTATACCTTGCATTCCCGCAGACAAATAACAGAAAAGCTGAAACTTGGACAATCTGTTGAGCCCGAGATGTATGACAGAGCAACCGTCTTCTTTTCTGATATCGTCTCGTTTACGACAATTGCTGCACGAGGATCGCCTTTAAACGTATGCAGATCTTTTATTGTATCAGAAATTGCTCTCTTATACTTTTATCGGTTTCTTCTATGCTTGCTTAGGTGATCGATCTTCTGAATAACCTTTATACACTGTTTGACAACATTATAGACAGACACGACGTATATAAGGCAAGTGTGTATGAATATTCCTTCACGAGATAGAAAAATTCTTTCAAAAGTGAACTGTTGTCGCAGGTTGAAACAATCGGCGATGCTTATCTCTGTGTTAGTGGATTACCCATCCGAAATGGAAACGAGCATGTGAAAGAGATCTGCAGCATGTCGCTACAATTTATGGAGAGTCTTATCGACTTCCACATTCCATATTTACCTAAGGAGAAACTCAGTTTGCGGATAGGGATACATACCGGTCAGTAATTTCTTTGCTGTTTTTCCTTGATACCCAAAACCGACTGTCTGTTGACCTCGGCATGCTTCGATATAATTCTTGATTCTCTTCTTTGAGCTAAACACGAGGTGTTACATTAATCTTTATTTGAGAGCTGACGTTTCCACAGTTAGCCTTCTTCAGAGCCTAGAAAGGTCACATTGTCCTCAATCCAATCAGTCAAACACCTCCATTACTCCTGCAAAAAAATCACCAGACTTAGATTTCAATTGCATCAAGCACAAAATCAACTTTAAGGATACTCGCCGCTTTTTATACGTGTTGCGCTTAATGATTCAAGTGGAGATCACAGGAACGAGATCATATAGGCTTTTAATGCACCTCATCACCAAAACACAATCTTATATACTGACTCATATCACGACACAGCTGTCAAATAAAGATTAATGTAACACCTCGTGTTTGGCTTTTCCTTAACTCTATTCTTTTCCTCAAAATGACTATTTTTCAATGACCACGAAATTTTCCATGCATTTATCCCCGATTAAAGTATATCGTCAAAGTGAAGTAATTTGACTTTCGAAAATGGAGTTTAGGATCGGTGGTGGCCGGTGTTGTGGGTTTGACTATGCCACGCTATTGCTTATTTGGAGATACGGTCAACACCGCCAGTCCGAATGGAGAGTAACGGAAAACGTCAGTTTGTTACTGGGCTACAAATTTTTATCTGTATCAAAAATTTTCCCTTAAAAACACCAGCGTATTTTTAAGGCATATGCATATAGACAATAACTTGTTACCTGTGTCGAAACTTCAACATGATTTCTTACTGGTTTACATTTGTTATTAGTGATGGTCATTTCATGCTCTTACAATAT